TCGGGCATCGATATGTGATTGTGAGAGCATTTTTTTCTGGGCAGCCATATAGGTCCCTACACCAAAATCCTTCATATTTTGTTGAATTGCACGTTCGGAGCCATTAGCTAGACCAATTGTCCTTGCCACCCTTAAATGACTTGACGAAGCAAAGCCAAAATTAGCATCTTCGACAGCCTCGATAGCTTCGCATTCGTATGGAGCAAGTATCTTTTTGCGACCTCGATTGTGGACTTTTTCGCTGCGGCGCGCAGTTCCTTCTTTAAGGATTCGATAGCCAGTTCGATTTGCTATATTATGTATCTTAAATAGCTTTGTACGAGGCAATTTGCCAGCTGTGTGGCGTGCATCAGCAAGAAGGCGCGCTCGGCGCGGCGTATCGACTATCGTTTTTGGCGTTCGTAAGGCCGCAGGAGAAGGAGGATCAATCGAATGAGACTTTCGGCAGACGCGTCGTCTATTTCCCTGTTCAGAATCCATTGTTCCCTAAATTTGAGTGAGTATTAGTAGAGAAATAGAGGAATGAAGAAGGGGGGGGAGGAAGGGGATCTGAGAACTGCCATAAATTTTGGCGCCAAGCTTCGGCCCTTGGCACAGCATTCCGGACACACTGATGAGAATTATTCAGCCACATAATGCTGAACAGCTTCGTACTGATAACTTTGTCACTCTGATTTGCCAAGAGCGACAGCGACACCAAATTGTTTCGATGCGCCTCAGTGCGAATCCAAGCTGTTCGCACTGCTGTACTGTTTGCTGGCTGACAGAGTTACGGGCACAAGAGATATCTGTGCGTGAATGAGTACAGATACAGTTAATTCTAACTAGGTCCGCTCTCCGCACTATCAATATTTCTTTGTCCCTTCTTTTTCTACGTCAACAGACGACGGGATCTAAGTCCTTCTTTCGACTTCGTCTGCCTTGCCCATCTTACTCCTCCAACTAATGCTTAAACAAAGACTTCACTCCCCTCACCAGACATCATCCTCATGGACCCCAACCAGGAGCCAGAGCCCGAAGCAGAACCACCATCCTCCCCAACTTCACTCACCACCTTGCCCTTCCCCTTATTCATACTCGCGTCCGCCGCTCCCTTACTGACCCTCCTCCTGACAGCCCACGGACTATCTCTCCTCACCAGGCCCACCTTCCCTGGGTCTTCCAGTTCTTGAGCAGCTGATCGCTGCAATTGTCCCCGACTCATCCCCTCAATCTTCTCCACGAAATCCTGGACGCTCATCTTCCTCTCCCTCGTCGTATCACCGGCTCGTTGACCCGAGGCATTCTGACCATCCACAAACAGGGATGGAGCAGCCATTCCGCTAGAGCAGTCTCTGTTGGCGAGCAGAGAAGTAACTTCGTCGGTGTCAATATGCTCAAAGCTTCTTTGTCTCGAAACTCTGAGAGACCCAGTACTGAAACTCGGCTTGTAAGCCTCGGACGATCTCCTTCGCATGTGAGAGCTTTGTCCCATACCGATACCGATAGCCGTACCAGGCCTGCTGTAGAGACTTGGCCCTCGCGGTTCAGAAAACTGGTTCGAAGAATTCCGCGCTCTGCCCTTTTCCTTCGAGACACGTTCTGAAAAGACCGGAGTATCGAATTTGATCATGGAAGAAGGCTCTTCTACCAATATCTTGCTGGCTTCAGGATGAGGAGACTGCTCCCGAGAGATGCTAGATCTTTGGCCATTGCCCGCGGATCCTGCGAGAGGCGGGAAGAAGCCAACATGCTCAGTGGTAGCAGATAGTCCTTCTTCCTGAAGGGTTTCAAAAAGCCCATCAGCAGTCGTGGACATGTCGTGGCTGAGGTCTGGCATTGGGGTAATAGAAGGACGGTGCTCCTGGAGGTCGTTCGCTTGTGTCAGAGACCCCAGATACCATCCTGTCAATTTTCGAAGCGTAGCTTTCCCCAGATGATCGCTCTCAGTAGACCTTCTGCTCGAACTTGAACTCTGAGACCCAAGCGATGCTCTCCGTAGCCCGTTATCCCGTAGCTGAGCTTCGAGCTTCTCCACAAGGACAGATTGCCTTCGACCATAATCACGACTTCCGGATTTCTTGGGACTGTTAGAAGTTTGCCGTGAGAGACATGCACATGTCGAGTCTTCACTTGAGGATGTGACGTGTTCATCCCAGATTATCTCATGCACGCTGCTTCCTGAAACGATGGTTGTGGAGCATCGTCTTGCTGAACGGGTCAGAAGCTCTTGTTGGTCAGCACGACAGTGGAATAACGGAAGGAACTCAACTTGAGTCACTGCAGGAGTCGCAACCGTGTTGGCGATGAGCTGGACCTTGTCCGCAGTCACTGAAGCTTTTCGCAATGAGGCAATTGGGTTCGGGCCAGTGCTCCGAGAGGACTGTCGAACACTCGTCTGAGAAGGCTCTCCGTTCTTGGAACTGGTCGGTGGCGAATTGATGCCGAAGAAGGAACAAATATAAGTGGAAGTAGTTCTGTTGAACTTAGGAGGCGGAAACGAAGTGATAGCATTTGGTCGTAGAGAAGCTCTCCGTCCTAAAGATGATGTCCTTTTCTTTGAGGCCCGCCTAAGAGTGATCATGGCGGGAGTCTCACCTACATTGGTTGATACACTGTTGTTCTCAGCTTGCGGCGACGACCGGAGGCTTGGATGAGATGTGCTGGGCTTTCCGCTGGCAGTACGCGCATTCTCCCGGTAGCTTTGGCTGGCAACAAGATAGGTACTTATCACAGGCGCAGGAGATTCGGACAAGACTCTTGTGGACGCAGCTTTGGAGGGCATAGTCCACCTTCGTGGCTTTTGTGGAAGACTTGCCCGACGCTTGGTTTCGACCGAGCGCGCTATTGAGTCTTTACGACGCGCCACATGAAGAGCTTGCAACTGTTGCCTCATCAAAAACTGACCTGCTGCCGAGAGAGCTGGTTGAGAGCTCGATTTCTGCCGCAGATCTGGCACAGAGGTGCTGTTCAGGCGTTTGCGGGTACGATGTGCTTGTATCGGCTGCTCTTCGGTGTCTCCAGTGGAGGCACGATCTAAGCCGTCGCGATGACGTCTAGACCTTCTCCGTCGGCGCCGATTCTTCATAGATAGGCTCGTTTGATCTGAGTCCGCAGGCCTGAATGGAGGAGTGTCGAGATGACCGACAGACAGTGGTGGGCTGAGAAGGTTGGTATCGACACCATTTTCCGGTAGTGCGAAACGGTTACTTCCGCCCTCGAGAAGGCCAGCCCTCATTATCACTGTTTGAGGGTTTGAGGATTTGCGTGGCTCAAATCTGGCCAGAGGTTTGCCGCTAAGGCGGGGGCGTGATTGATTCTCAAGAGAGCCTGGAGGACAGGTTGGCTTCCGATGCAGAAGCCGTCCTGGAGGCCTTGCTGAACAAAGGTTAATGAGGTCTGACACACCACAACCTGGCCAGAAGCAACGAAACTATTTCCAACAGTAGGACTATAGGGTAGAGAGCGATCTGATATGGATGGATTAATCGGGTGAAATGAGCGTGAGTTGCCTTGAGTAATAGCGACGAGGGAAGAAGCCAAGGGAGCATAGCAAAGAAAGAAAGGTCTGAAGAGGGGGTCAGAGGAAGGACAGCTTGTCAGATCGCTAGAAAGAGCATCCCATAGGCAAGCGTGACGAAAGGTCAATGGCAAGAACGAGACGCGTCTTGGCATAGATCTTATACCACTGCTCGCTGCTCGTCAACAAGAGCGGACGCAGAATTGCAGGATGATGGTATTGAAACATCAGCCGAGCTTGAAAGCTTTTGTCCGTCCATGGTCTAACCGTAGATAAATGGTGTCCGTAAAATTGTTCTCAGCATCGAAGCCAGCATCACCAGTTCAAAACAATACGCCAGATCCAAAGGTTTTTACCCGTCTCAAATGGACTAGATGAACCTGCCCCCATGAATGGCACTCCGAAAGCAAAGGGTATCGAGCCAGTACCACTATCCATAACAGAATAGAAGCAGGAGAAAGTTGTACATACAAGTACATGATCACACAATCAGACATGATGGTCATTATGCGTAAGCGAGCAACACATCATAGGGCAGGAAGAAGAGTACGCTTGCGTGGAGTCCAGTCAATGTTGGGCGGCGGAGGCGCGGCAGTGTCACGCCCAGCAGGTAATTCCACAGTACGTGGGACATGTAATGTCGATATCGCAGGTTTGCCATTGCCTGACCGGGGGTCAGAATCTCGTGCTAGATCTTGGTAGAAGATGTCAAAATCATCAATTTCAGGGGCGACGTTGTCGGACGAAGTCCTTGACGACGCCGAATCATTGGACGCTGGTCGGGCTTCATCGATATGGCCCGTTCTGCAAGGTTTCGATGCCTTTGGCGTCCGTTCCGGAGAGGGCGGGTACTGGTCCTCCCTTTTAGAGCCGAAAAAGGATCCCAGAGTGGTAGAATCGGCGCGATGGAGCGGGGGCTTGGCCTTCATACTGGACTTTGATACCACCGTTCTCAGTGGAGCGATATTCGAGTCTCGGGTTGTCTTGGGCTTTGAATTTGATCCTTTCTTGGATTGCTTCTCCGCTGCGGATGTGCTGGGGGCTGTGTTTGCATGCCATGATTGCCGCCCTCCCTTCGGAAACCTTGCAGGAGCTGACATTGCAGCGCTTGATGTATGCGTATAAGAGGCTCTCTGCTTTGTCTTCTTTGGCCGCTTCGCTTTCGGCTTTTCCTCTACCTTCTCCAGCGCGTGCAGATAGTTCTTCCTCATGCTTTCCACGATCCGACTGACTTCCTCCCGAGTTGTGGGCACATCAGCCTCGAAAAGGCTTGTCCTTTTAGTATAGGACGAAGATGATTCTTCCGAAGACAACAACGAGGGTACTTTGACGGAGGAGTAGTCGGACGCAGTGTCGACGAAGGGAAGTTCCTGTGTAACCGAGCCTCGAGGACTGGGCAAAGGAGGAATAATGGTAGCGGGAGACAATGGTGGTGGACCTGCAGATGTAGCGCTTAAACCTCTCGACCTGCTTTCGACACTGAGTTTCTTCTCTGGGAACGGCGCAAGAGGATCCCTGTTCAATTCTGCGATATTCCTGTCCACCCCGTCCTGGCCATATATCGCGACAAGACGTGCGTATTCTGCTTTCCACAGAGCCTGAATAGTTGCATTCTGTTCCTCTCCTCTGCTGAGCAAAGAGGTTCTGCTTGAAAGGGTTTTGCCAGGTGACAATGGAAGGGGAACCTCTGATGGGCTTAACAGATATGCTTTAGCCGCGGTTGAATTGCCACTGTGTCGGTTGCGTGGCGGATTGTCTGGGTGTGTACTTTCAAGAGTGGCAAGGCCGTTATGGAGATTTAATGGCTCTGGAACATGTCTCCGATAGGGTTTTAGTTCGGGTCTGGGTCTCGGGCTTTGCTCCGCAGTCGTATTCGACATCTGTAACGCCGGTGCAAGAGATGATCGGGTTGATGCCGATGCCTTGCTGTGGGCGGGCAATTTGATGGAAATCGTCCTTGATGTCCTCTTCGGCTCCTTCCGTCCAATGATGTACTCTCCTTCCCGAATATCGGATAATGTTCGTTGGTGATCTTGGGTAGTGATGAGGAGCTCCCCAGAGCTCAGCCTTCTACTGGTCTGGAGTTTTACTGGACCATTGCCCTTGATGGGTGTTGCACCAACAACAGGAGGTGTGCCAGGAACAGCGGCTTCATAGGGAATTGTGTATATAGCAAGGACGTCGAGATCGTCCTTGGTCCTGGCCACTTCTTTGCTGCGAGGCGCAAAGCTGAGCACTGGGGCTCGGCCTTTATCGGTGCTGCTGTAGGGAACACCGATCAGCTCGAGCTCATCGGTGGTATGATGCGTTGGTGGAAGTTGAGAATTGAGTTTCCTAAATGTGAAATATCTCCTGATCCGGGTCTCCATGGTAGGCTTGGAACGTAATGAATCGACATACGGTGGCGGGGGACTCTCTTTCTTTCGGGTGAGCAGGAAGACCTTGGGAACGAGATGGCGGATGAAGTAATCGCCAATGTCTCTTAGACGACGCAGGGGGGATTGTGATTAGGGAGGAAAAACGCGTTGCCGGCTAACGAAGCTGGCGTTCGAAGTGGTTGTAATCCGCGAGCAGGTTGGCGTGGTGGAGGGATCCCGGGAGTTAGGAGCCACAGGGTAAGGATGCCAGCTCAGCTTTGGAGTGACGCCACGAAGCCGGGGGACATGGATCTTGAGTCAGGGCTAACTAGTAGCAGTCTTGCATTTCTTGGGATCGCGCAGGACAGAGTCATGCTGTCAACTGCTGCGCGTTATTCCATAAAGAGATGCAAAGGATGGATGGCACAGGGGACAGCAAATATCATATTCAGAGTGACACACGGCAGACGACATCGGATCCATGCTTACCCTTGTGCGCCTTCGACAATGGAGGGACAATCCCAAACATACTTCTGCACCCCAGGGCGTCAGGGCTGGATGGCTCTAAACTAGCCGTGACAATCATCATGTGCGGAATCGATCGGCCTAGACGGATAAAGGATAGTCGAAACTGGCAGCAGAGCGAGAATGACGGATCAGGTCTAGAGGGCAATCAGTGGGAACCGCGGAAGAAAAGGGCGTAAAGCAGGGCCGACATAGTTACCACGTACAGCACCTACAGGCACCTACAGCACCAATAATGGCCGGGCAGAGCTGGGGAGCCCAAACTAACAATTAAAGTTGGGGTGACCTTTGCCGGCTCACCGGAGCCAGGCAATCAAAATCCTCCCCCATATTCTCCCAATCTTTCTCCCTGCGGAGTGAGTTCACTTATCTTTGAACCAGCCTTTCCTCCTCCAGATTGGCCATCATTCTCGTGTCTTTCCTCGGGAAAACGTCCGCCAATTCCTTCTGGTTGCCCCAAGTCACTTACTACGTAACTCCCACAGGCCGCACTTAGTGCCTCATACACCGCCACTCGGGGGCTCGCCTACGAGGTTACCTCTCAAGGTCGCAAGTATGAGCAGTAATACGAGTACTCCGTACGATGTGGTCGATCAGCATCCGCTTAGGGTGAGATCATGTCTGCAGGCATGCATGTAGCTCGTACGGATGTATGTGTACACGGTACGTAGTATGTACACATCGGCCATCTGGAGCTTGTCCCTCGTGATAGACAAGCTCCCCAAAAGAAGGTCACCCAGGGTCCGAAGAACATGTCCAATCAGGCTTCACAGGCTTGCACCACCCGTACGCCATCTCTGCGGCTATAAGGTTGGACCGCATGGCTTCTCTGTACACTGTACGAGGATATGGCAATGTGATCTAATATGATTAACACTATGATTTCTTGCATGCAGTAGCGCTTGCCGGTCCTGTCTAAACCACCCCTCTCATTTCAACCATTTTATCCTCAACTGCTGCTATTTTGGTTCCTGCCATTACCGTTGCCATTACCGTGTCGGCCTGGTTGAGACAGCCCCAGACACTCTGCCATTCGGTAGAAGACATCAATATTGCCGTATGTACCACCAAAGATATCTTGGCAGGGACCTTGAGCGTATACAGGCACATCTGTCAGCGAATGCACACCTTGGTCTGCCGTAGTCGGCAGAGTCCCGTTTATAACAAACCCACCAAGACCATCCCGGTCGTTCACGTAGTAGTCATCGATGGGTAAGCCTGTCCTGTTTAATGCGGGTACCCGTACACCATCCTTATGGACGGTATAGTTTTCGCGACGATCAGGGTTCGCAGCTAAACCAGAGAAAAGAGTGTAGCGAGGATCCCAGTTGGCCGGGAAATAGGTACCGTTGGTGTATACCAGGGACGTGTCGTTGCGGGAACGGTCTGGAACGGTGTACTGGGAGAGACCACTGTTTTCGTAGGTTCCAATTGCATCCCTCTTTCTGCGATCGTTGTTCTGAGCCTGTAGATACCGAGTATCAACAGAGCCCATCACGTCAAATCCATGTCCATGATCCGCCGTAACAATAATCTGTGTATCCTCGAGCTGACCTAGCTCTTCGAGATACTCCATGGTAGCTTTGACGGTGTCATCAAGTTCAAGTAGTTCTCCTAGAGCACGATCGTAGTCAAGGGAATGCATCATCTTGTCGATGCTTGCAGCCTCTGACATGAGGAAAAATCCATCATCTCCATGACGCTCGTTGAGAATCTCAATAGCTTTCAGTGTCATCTCTTTGAGCCCCGGCTGATCTGCTGCAGAGCCATTTCTTCCGTCAGGGCTGTTCCTCTGGCCGAAGAGATTCCTGGTGTAGACGTTTCGATCAAGCCACTTCGCCATGTTGCTGACGGAGAAAATGCCAAGAGTCTTTTTTGAAGTGTCGGTCACCTGTAGCGCAGTGTTGTTCAGGACAACATTGTAGCCTCTGTTTGCAAACTCGGCGTAGTAGTCCCTGCCTTGGAAGGATCTTCTGTTCGGAAAGAATTGCTCAGCTCCACCACCGAAGAGCACATCAGGTCCGGTCCAGTTGGTCCAGGTATAATTCGTGATACCATTGAGGAAAGAATCTACCACTTCCCCGTACCGACTTCGGTCACGGGTATGAGCAGTAAGCGCGGCTGGCGTTGCATCAGCGATGAAGGCAGTGGACACAATGCCAACGCCGCCGTTGTAGACTCTCCGGAAGATCTCGGCAATTGATTCCACTTTCGGGTCATCCGCTGGGCTCCTTGAGCTATCCGCATAAACACCAAGCGCATTTACTGTGCTTTTATGACCAGAGTAGAGAGCCGTGGCAGAATTAGCGCTATCCGTGATGAAAGAATCCAAGGAATGAGTCATCTGATGCCCAATAACAGGAAATTTATCCATGGCCATGGTACTTTGATATCTGCCGTTGACCATCTTGTGGGCAATAAGACGTGCAGCTGCAAACAATCTGGTTAGGAGATGCTCTACTTGCAAATCGAATTACGGCTCACCAGTGATCATGTTCGTAGTCATTCCATCACCAATGAACAGCACCAGGTTCTTAGCTGTACGCCTCGGAGGTATGTCACGGACTCGCCAATTTGCCACAGTGGTCGAGCCATTGTAATACATCAGGGTAGCGGTATACTCTCCTGGCTCGGTGAGCACAACGTTCCGGTAAGCTTTAGCGGCCACTCTGACAAGAGATGGCCTCCCGGCATCCTGTGCAAACAGATCTGTCCCCTTCGTCAGCTGATATCGGACTTTGGCTGCTAAGGTAGCTGACCTTCAAACCAGGTGAAGTTCCAGGTCTCAAGCCTCGGTTCCGCGACTGAGAAATACGTGGTGGCACTTTGAGCCTGAGCTCCTGCCCTAGCAATCGTGAAAGTGAAATTGGAGTCTGGTGTCGTGTTGGCCCTTGCTTCGCTCCCATTGACAGGCGCATGCACCTCGAGTCGTATGTCGAAGCGCTGCCCTGGGAGGAAATCTGCTCTATTACACAGGTCAATGACAGCCATGCTCAGTCCGTGGAACAGCATACTGATCCGGAGGGAAAACACATCCCAGGCTAGGACATGCTCCCAGACGCTGGAACGTCTGCCCGTGGCATGTTTGCAAAAGCGACAACGCAGTCAAGCTGATCAAAGAAAGATGAGATCTCATCTTGGTGTCAGCGTAAATGCGTTTCAACGTCAGGTCCTGTCATGTAGCCTTAATGCACTCGAAGGACCGTGGCCTTGCAACCTGGGTTCCATGCTCTTATGGCACTCAACCGTGACATGCATCTTGATTGATCTTCAGGGCAAGCATGGCATAAGGAAAACGGTCTGTAGAGCTAAAACAAATACAATGAAATCATCGCCTTGGCTCGCCTGTCAGCACCAATCAAAGTGCCCACGTTTTCCAACACCAACCACTCACAACCCTTGGCAAAGACCTCGTGCCTGCATGCAGGCATTACATTCGCACATGGAACAGCTCTGGGGGGTTCTACTCGTCACTAATAGCGGAGAGCTCGCCACGAAATATCTTTGGCATCATGGATCCACTTCCACATTGCGGCGTTCATAAAAAAACGTGGAGGGAGATGATGTAGCCAGCGGCTTCTCTGCATTCCTGCCACTTTGAGAAGTATACCCCGGACGAAGAAACGAGACAGTTGAGTAATTTCATTTTGGATGAATGAGATGGATCGTCAGGGTTAGCTGACACGGCAAGAGCGGGGGCTTCGTTGAGAAGAGGAACATAACACATCAACCTCCACCAAAGGGACAGCACTTGTGGGTTTCGAACCATACTTATCTGATGTATTTTTACTGACTTGGTGTATAGGTATTGCCAATTTTCGCCTAAGATATAGTACGTACGTAGTAGCAAGGTGGTGGGGGAGCGAAGTGAATCTCGAACAAGGGCAAGGATCGTACATACGTAGTATGCGGGAGATACCAGGATCTCTAATCAACGAGCTTCCGGTTCCAGATAGAGTGACCAGGGCCTACACTTACTTTTGACATTTAACTAGCCAAGATGCGAGATTGTGCAGTGAGTTTTGGCACTTCCCTGATATGCGGGAGCTGTACTGGTAAATTGCATTCAAACAAATGCAGGATTTGACGGGTAGGTGGGTTCGTCCTTCAGCACTCAGGTACAGCCAATCATGGGAATGCTTTCACAACATCCTAGCCCACGATAGAGTTAAAGGCCCTGTCTAGAAAATCTTGCTGTCTGTCATCTCTCAAGTTCTCATGGAACTCAAAGTCTTTTCACCAGGATCAAGCTTAGTGTTAGACACATCCTAGCCGTTACACGAAATCCTAAACACGTGCTTCCACAATCAGGTCTTCTCCAGGATCATGTAAGACATCTGGCACCTGAAACCTACTACGTATGAAATTGAGCTCGAGATATGCTAATCATCATCTCCAGTTCATAGGAATAACTCTCAGCTGAATGGACGTTCTCAATCTGTGGATTCTAATCGTGGTCCAATCGGTCACAGTTTTTGACCCCAACGCTGGGATGGTCCTTGCGATCCTCTGACGTCAACGTTCTCTGCCTGATCTACTACGTACATAGTGGTTCTCATCATGACGATCAGCCAGTTGCTGGTGTGAAATGGAAAGGCAGCCACACCACAAATCCTTGATTGCGTTGGTAGTCCCACGATATGTCTTTCGGGAAGACCGAGCTTCGCCACAGTCCTTGAAACTGTTTAGGTCCTATGCCAGCATAAGGGAGTGTCATTTTCGTAAACCTCCCCTACAGCCAGGGTATCAATCAAATCAAACAAAGCAAATCGAGGCCCTGATTTGCTTTTGATTACTATTTAATCAAAATCCGTGAATTGTTTCAAATCTCAGTCAGCAATATATTTCTAAGGGTTTACTTAAATTCTCGTCGAGATCGGGTGTCCGCCAAGACTTTTTATATTAGTATTCTATCAAAAATATCCTCGAATGTTTCAAAATAATAGACTTTTCTGTCAAGACTTCAGTTTGACGCCGATTTGCTTTGACGAAGGCGCTGATTTGATTTGATGTGCCAAGCATTTGATTCCACTGATTTGATTTGATGGACACACTTAGGGTCACCTTTACACAATCGGCAGGGCATGCAGCCCAGGACCAAAATTCAGATCTGGATCTGTACCTCTGAGTAGAGTTGACCGTGATATCTAAGTCGTCCATATTCAACAAGTACTTAAGCAGGTAGGCGAGTCGACACTAATAGCATAATACTTCAGAATAGGATGTCACCCATTACATCCTTTATGGCTGTGATGCATCGAGTACGCGCTTTGCACCCAGAATTATCGAGGCGAAGCACTGTATCCTGTGATCTTCCTCCCCACAGCCACATCCCTGCTCATGGCATCACACCGTCTCCTGCGAGCTGTTCAATGTGCTCGACCGCTGGTCCTAAGGTCTCCAGATATTTTGGATCGAGACAACAAGGTCCTTCCCGCAGCCATGGAGCGTCTGTGTCGAGAATATACTCCAGGGCTCCCTAAGCCATCGGCGAACATATCAAAGGCCTAGTCGAGAAATATCTGCGCTGGTCTTCTCACCACGTATCATTTCGGCCACTACTTTTCCAGTTCCCAAACTTAGTGATATCCCCCACGGACCATGACCTGCCGCAACAAATACACCTCCGTCATGCGGAGTTTTCGTTCCCCTACCCAAGCTGCTGTCCGGAACCCTGGTGATGATTGGCGTGCCTCGGTCTGTTACTGGTCGGAAACAAAGAGCCTCTCGTATCACTTCAAGGTCATTTTCTGCAACCGCATCTCTCATGGAGGCTACTCGACCCATCAGTTGAACAGCAACCTTTTTGACCTCAGTCATGGATTCATGTTGCATAATCGCCCCAGTCGCTTGCTCGGGAAGTGGTAACCTTGGATCGTTCAGCCCAGCTATATAAATCTCTCCTCCTGTTCGCGAGAAGATTTCCGGCGCCCATGAGTAGGTCTGCGTAGGAGCGGAGAAGATCGCATGGCTTCTGCCATACTTTTGCTCGTCTAGCACAGAATGTCGCGGCGATCTGACGAGCAAGCTATAACCTGCCAAGGGCGAGACCGGAATGGAAACAGTTGATTTATGAAACAAGTTTTTGAATACTGCTGGTGTCCACGCGCCAGATGCTATCACTATGGCCTTGCATGTGATCTCGCTCGGGACATTACCTCCATCTGATACCAGGTTGACACCAATTAATGAACCTTCATCATCCTTACAAAGAGAAACGACTTTGGCGGGATAGTGCACTTGTACACCACGCGTTCTGCATGCTTCCATCATAAATTCACAAAGACGCAGTGGGTCCACCTGAGCACACCCATCTTCGCTGCTTATCACGTCTAAGCTTCCACTTTTTTGCTTTGTAAGCCATGCCGGAGTACCATCTTCGTTCACCACATCATGGCCTGCAGATACCTCAGCCCGGCTGGTACCATTGAGTAACCAATCTTCTCCCCTTGCTCCGGTGCCGACACCAACACCTTCCTGGATGGCAAGGCTGAGAGCCGTACTGGGAGCATAGCCCCATTTCTCACTGCCATTATTGTTGTCGGCAAGCTTCTTATGAAGCTCAAAGCTCAGGGCACCAAGCTCTGCAGCCCCCAATGAGAACCAGTCTTTTGCGAGAAATCCGGCCGCGTAACCTGATGCAGAGGCGAACAGCCTTGATGACGACTCCACGATATGGATAGAGGTTGAATCCTCCAGGGTTTCGGAGAGATAGAAAGCAATGGAGACGCCAATGATGCCGCCACCAATGATGACTGTTCCCATACTTGTAGAACTCGATGATGTTGACCTGCTTCGCGCTTATTTGCAAGTTAGGTCGAATGCCTTTACCTTAGCTGTCATGGGGCAGACAGCACCAGGTGAACGCGGTATCACGTTTATAGCTGGAGTTGTCTTATCATTCTGATATATTGATGTCTCTCTCCAGCTTGATATTAAAAAATTGTCTAATCCATGTATAGATTGAGAGCGTAGCTGGTATTGCTGCAGAGGGGATTAGTAAAATGGAACATGGTGGTCTTCGTTAAGAAGCAGCACTACAAAGCTTCGAGCGCTTTGCTAATGGCCACCAAAGTAAGACGCAGCATTGCGATTTCACATGACGTATGACGCTCGCTTATCCACTTTCGGAGGATTTCCGGGTTATTCTTACTACGAGAAAATATTATAACTAATTGTATCGTACCACATTGAATAGTAGCTCATTCCGCGTTTGAACCAGAATACCGTGCCGACTAAGTCAGACACACGGCGTACTGCTAGAGCATCACAAGCATCGCCACTGATTACACAGCTACTTGTCTATCGGTCACCCGCTGTACCTACGATGACTTCAAAGACTATCATATTAACAGGTGCAACCAGGGGTAAGTATGTCCACAATAAAGACGAGTAACAGCTTATGCTCTTATCCAGGAATTGGCCTGGCGATAGCCAACTTCCTTCTGAAAGGATCCGAGAAACATAACCTAGTAGTGCTTGGTCGAAATGAAGAAGCTCTTCGCGAGCTCGAGGCGCGTGCACCGTCTCAGGTGAAGCCATTGGCGGGGGATTTCTCGAACCTCTCCTTAGGACAGGCAGCCGTTGACCTCGCTCTATCTACCTTCGGACGCATCGATGGTCTGATCATCAACCACGGGACACTGGGTGAGGTAAACAGGATTATTGATTGCGACCTGGTCAATTTTCGAAAGACATTTGACATCAACTTCATCAGCGCCGTTGCTTTGGTGAGTTGCCCATAAAGTCAAGGAATTTGATCTCACAACGGATAGGTCAAAGCAGCGATTCCAGAGCTGCGGAAGTCAAGAGGTCGTATTGTGCTCACCTCTTCAGGAGCGGCTGTGAATGCGTATTCAAGCTGGCTTAGCTATGGGAGCTCGAAGGCCTCAACAAATCATCTTGCTATGACCTTGAAAAGCGAAGAACCAGACATAGTGGCCCTAGCCATTCGACCTGGAACTGTCGACACGGAGATGCAAACATCCTTAAGAAATGAATTCGCAAACTTTATGGACCCTGAAGATAGGGCGAAGTTCGCGAACCTAAAAAGAGATGGCAAACTTCTGCGTCCAGATCAACCTGGAAACGTTATGGCCAGACTTGTCTTGAATGCGCCGACCAAGCTTAGTGGACAGTTCTTGAGGTAAGATTCATTTTCGCACTCTTGCATACGACTGACAAAGGCAGCTGGAATGATGCATCGTTGAAGGACTTTCAGGACTAAGCACACAAGGGGGGAAAGCACCAACACCATGACAAAGGGTATCCCAGACATAAGCCCTTTTATGCTTTGCTTACCAGAAAAGATTTCAGGTGGTATTTCTCAATGGCAGAAGTAAATACATGGTTGCTTTGGTGGTTGCGAATGACAGAACATGGGAATCGGGTACCAACAGTATTCCAAGCTTGAATGACGCTAGGCGCTCGAGAGTTTGTATTTCCTAAGATACAGGGTCAGTACGTAGGCTTTGAAGAATTCCTGACAAGGTCGCTCGGATTCTGCTATAGTCAGTCGAAAGATGAAAATTGAATACACAAGCTTAAGCATCAGACCAAAAGTCTTCATGTTTAGCATGGAATGGTGTTTGCATCACAGGATGGAGATTTTCAAGAACAGGGAAAGCTCACTCAGCTTGCTGATAATGTAAAGGAACAAGATCAATGACGCTAGCCAGCCGAATCTGCGTAGATAGTCAGATCCATGGTGTCTACTTGAGCGGACTGTCTTCTGATGTATGCCATCTATTTTCAGGTAATCGAACCAAGTGGTATTCGTCACAGGGAAGTCCGAATTTGATAGTACATGACTTGTTGTTCATCATTTGAGAAGCTGCGGTCCGGAAGACGCGTAGGAGGGGAGTTGGGTCAAACGTACCCTGCGGGCTATCGACGAGGCACACTGGCCTCAAAGTGTGACTATGGAGCGCTGAGGAACCTAGGCACCAGTATTAGCAACGCTTCTTCAGTATAGTATGAAACAAAACAAATTGAAGAGCAACTAAATCAGAAAGTCCGTTTGGCTAGGACAGGTAAAGTCACCATGAATAGAGTAAATCGATGGTATGATAGGGGCGACACGATATTCATCATGGTATGAGCAAGAGAAAGCTGCGGAAAGTGTCACGTACTTACTGCGTGTCTCCATATGAGTTGAGTAATCGGTTTGCATGAAGGAGAGTTGAGTTGGTTTTGAAATAGAGGTGGTGAATAACTATGTGAAGCTTCAACAAAGAAATGTTTAGCGCCACGGAACACGGAGCTTGGTCCGGCGAGTCACTACTTGCAAATGCTCAGATTACATACTTTAAGGTGAGACAATGCGTCTGCCTGGCACCATGAAGGGCACATTGAAAGATGTCAGATCGAGAATTCGGCGGTAGGTGACTGAATTAGAAGTGTATTCCCCAGTAATACTAACTAAGAGAAAGGGAACGACGACCTATCGCTTCCAAAAGGTATGTCAAAATCATCCTCGAGAGCATATCGCGACTTAACAAGCCATGATTCCTGTAGCGACAGTCCAGAAGATTATCACTGAGATCCTACCCGCGTCCTCCGGTCAAAGTTTTGCCCGAGATGCCCGCGACCTGCTCATCGAATGTTGTGTCGAATTCATCACTTTAATCTCGTCTGAAGCAAATGATATTTCAGAAAAGGAGGCCAAGAAAACGATTGCAGTGGAGCACATCGAGAAGGCTCTTACAGAGCTTGGCTTCCAAGATTATGTACCGGATGTTCTTGCGGTAGCTGACGAGTTCAAGGATCAGCAGAAGGTACGCTTAGTCTCGCTATCTGGTGGTGATTCACTGGTTGTTTTGCTGACAACAATATCTGTAGACTCGAGAAAAGAAGCAGAACAAGATGGAGACTAGCGGCATGAGTGAGGAAGAGCTACTACGGATGCAAGAACAAATGTTCTCGCAAGCGAGAGAGAAGTACAATGCCGCTCCAGACGAGGCATGAAATTGAGCAAAGCACTGGCACGACAAAGTGGAGTCTTGCCACATTATGTGATTATCTGGAATTTGGACCTTCCTGAAGCTCTTTATGGCTTTTAGGAGGCGGCATCAGACACGCGAGTTACCAGCATTCACTTCCTCCCCCTTCATGTTGCGCTTTGGAAAGAGCTCATGTAGCTTAACACCACAATCATGCAAGATGACCTCCCGGGTCCATTTTTCTCTATTTTCGAGCCTATCTGAGCAAGGCCATATGCGTTCATAATCCCGTGCCCCCAGTTTTGCGTCTCTGCGACCAACAAGAAGGACTAACTTCCCTGTCACCTCTGAACACAACATGTCACCTGCTGGTCCTTGATTCAATCGCTTCACCGAGAATGCAATGATGATAAATTAGTCGTCTCCCCAAACCTAACTTTGCCTAAAGAGCTTCGTGATACTTTCTAGGCCCTTAACGCATTCTGAGAAATTCGTTTCGCCCTTGTACAACGTTAAAGCACAGCTCCCTGGTCCTTCCAATTACTGTCACCCAGCCCTCGATATTTTCGACTTGAAGTCTAAATGCTGTGAACCTATTTCTATTTGCAATTTGATGTTACTTCTAATCAAGGCCGAAATGCCGAAGGGACGGGAAACGAAAGAGACACGGAGTCTATAATGAGAAACCGCTTAGGGGATCGCTACCTTGTTACGTTGCTACTATTCATTTAGGTACAAGGACTTATGGCATATGCTGTGATAAGATGTGTCGATACAAGCAGTTCATTAGTCATCGGATAGAAGCAGTACGATCTACCACTTCAAAGACCTGGTAGGGTACAGAACAGAACGACTTTTTCCCAAAATCTTGCCGGTATCTCCTCTTCAGGTGAATGGAAGCAGAGCAGCGCATCTCGGTACAATGCAGCAGTGGCACTTCACTGATGTGGTGTCGGAGAATGCGACATGGCCAAGGGGCAAGGCTCATATCACTTTGCTGACTTCGTGACCTTTGCGCTAGAGGAGCTTCCCTAACCTACCGAATGCGGATGGGCTAGGCTGAGTAATGAAAATGGTCAACGTGTAGGAAAGATTCGGACCTAGCAGGTATTGGACCTGTCTTTATGATTGTCATTGTCTGGCATTCGGGCTCAAGACAACAAAAGTCATCAACATACGCTAAAGTTAGAGCACCACTACTAGTACTAGCACACTTGATCTGAGCTTTAGCGCCCCGTAAAAGATGCGCTATAGAAGTGGAGCCCAGTACTACGGTAGAGCTGCTGCTAAGACCCGTCACCCGTAGGGCCCCCTTTAGATCATTTGACCTGGCTCACAGGCCTGTTTCACGTACTACGTAAGCTTCAGCCATCCACCCCATCTGCAAATGACACGCTAGTACAAGGAGGGCTAGCCCTACTGATCTAGCTAACATATATTGATGACTTTTGATGCACGACTCCGTAGTAGGATGGCTGAGCATTCATCCCTTACTGGTTGGGTGAGTTGCGCTGGCCCATTGTCGACCACCGAAGCATTCATATGTGGTTCATGGGTTGACCTACAGGAAAACTGGGACTGCATCGTTACAAAGCCACGTGATGGGCTATGTTGACTGAGATTTTGCTTTTACTATTCTTGCATGTTCAAAAAAGGTTCATAAATTAAGTGCCTAAACTGTCGACATTAAACCCCTTGTATGTTGGATATGCTATGTAGGAGATTCCAAATGTTGGTACATTGGACGCCATGACCAAGTAAGCGAGAGAATGCAGCAAGATTTACAAATCAGCAAAGGGCCGCAAGCAATGCAGATGTTGTGAAACGACGATGGATGCTCCAAAGCGGTACGGGTGTGTCCTTGGAGGCGATGGTCCAATCCAAGGGGTGACACCAATAAAAAATATTGATCAGCTTTAACAGAGCCAGATTTTTGGAACTTTAGACTGATCGGATCCAGGAGTCTGCCCAAAGGGGGCACAGCGTCATGGCACTACGGCTCTCTTGCTAAACTTGGGGGCTCCCGGCTGAATACGAGTCAGGGCGTGCACCCGGTAGTTACCCAGTCCATTTTTTGAGGCCACCGTGTCTTATTTAACCTCACCCTCTCCCACCACATCTCCCACAGTTCTGTCTCTGGTGATATGACTCCGCACTAGACTGGCCATTCCCATGCCCTTGCGGTGAATTGCAGCACTACCAATCTGCCTGTTATGCTCCCCGAGGCTGGTCATAATGCCACCTTGAGGGTTACGTGTCATCTTCAGTGATTGATCACCCCTACACTCCTACCGCCTACCTCCACCAAAGGACTCTTTCGTCACATTCCAACAGCACTGTCAATTTGTTCTTATCACCTCTACGCTTTCGACATGTGGGAGCACCACGATTCAGAGGAGCAGGACCTTGAATCTGTTGATTACAACACCTCCACTCCCCCAAGCCAGGCCGGTTCTGAGTCGCCCGCACCTCAAAAAAAGAAGAGGAAAGCATGGGGACAGCCCATTCCAGAGTTCGAGAAGATTATCGGACCTCGAAAGCGAGCTAAGACGGAAGCTGAGAAGACTCAACGCGCCCATGAGCGTACTCTCCGTAACAGGCGAGCGGCGGCTCAGTCTCGTGACAAAAAACAAGCACAGTTCGCTATGATGGAGGTCGAGAACCAAAAATTGCGTGAACAGCTTGCTCAGTATCAGGCTCGTTTCGGCAACTTGTCAGATACTCCAGCTACAGTTTCAGACATTGTTGAACCGCACACCTCTTCTACCAGCATCAACGCCTATCCAACACCGTCACCCGATGCTACCTTCCACCACGAGTTGTCTGCCACCGACCTGGCTGCATCAACACCCACCATCTCAATCTCAGGACCTGTTCTATCACAAGACGAGTCCGGCCTTTCTCAATACCAAGTATCACCAACCCTGGCACCTACCCTTCAGTTAGATCCGAACCCCATACAAGAGGACCTCATCTATCATCAACAAGTTCCCTCAGAGGCTCTATCTGGTGAGCTCCCTGACGCGACACAATACTCAGCAGCAGTATTGTTGGACCCGCAGTGTCAAGCGTCAGTGGGGTCCACCAGCCTGATCCAACGATCGGAGCTGAGCCCTTCTTTCCATCTCAACTTCCAACTCTTCAACCTGACGATACTGATGACGATCTTCGAGAACTTCTCGAGTTCAATGCTCACGCCGATGTACCAGATATTTCGTACCTTAGCGGGGGACTTCTCGATGCATTCAGTCAAGCCGGAGGTGCTCGATCATCATTTCCAGCTGATTCACTGTTTGATTATGAGTCCTATGAAAGGGACAGCTCGACCGGTTTTCCGGATGAAACTCCTCAGCCGTCTTCTCGCTTGCAACCCGATCACCGCGCGCCTTATTACGGTAGCAGCGGACCGAGCGTTGCAGCGTCAAGTCACTGAGGGATCAAGTCTGGAAGACCCAGAGAGCTGCCAGAAGTGGGCCTCGTTGTTAACACTCAGGTGGACGATCAAGTGGCTGGACAAGGAGCATGCACGGTATCGTGAAGCTCGACGGATCGGTAGCTCTTTGGCGGATACAACAGGCTCGAACCCTCAGAACTCCGACAGACTGGGGGTAGGTTATCAAGGCGTCGATTATCGAGCGGTGGAACGGAGTTCGTGGCGTTGGGATAGCGTGCACTTGCCAGAGCTGCTTCGGACTTGCGATGTGTTAAGTGCTGAACAAGCTGCTCATTGAGCAGAGCAGGATTCGCATAGGATTAATCAAACCCAATGCTGCTCATCTAGTGAAATCCCTACGACAGTTCTTGGTTCGGCGTTGTAGGTCAATTGTGCCTTGTCCCTCACCATGGGCTATGAGAATGTACCTGTAACTTTGACCATCCTCGATAAGCCATCTCTGGGCCAGCGAGACTAACGTGGCTGCAGTCTGCCGCTTGTGTCAGACAGAATTGCAGAGGGATGTCGCGAGCCCACCATCTCGTATCGTAGCCCTCCTTGCAACCCGCGACCCGTTCTGCAGACGCTGGCAGCTGCGGCCAACGCGACAGACACGTATCAGGTCTAGTGGCGGTGAGGTGCCATACGTCTTCTACTAGTCGGATGGCGCTCGACAGAAATTGTTGGAAATGGCGCAGTACCAGTCTAGAACCACCGAGATGATTTGGCTATCTTACTCAAACAATGTTAATTTTACTGGTCGGGAAGCAGGGTTAGAATTATCCTACTGAAACACTGTTGTAAAAGACTGGGAAGGACTTTCAACGCAAACTCGATGATTCCCCACCATCCCAGAGGTTTCCTAGCATAATAGTGGCCTCAGGGTCGATGCTGACCGCGTCACCGATGCCTTAACCAACCGTGATGACGGAGTGGGCGCCATCGTCCCGGTCTCTAAGTCATCCTGGTCGGTTGTTTGCACAGACGATGAGCACGTCCATCGTCCTCCTCTCGAACAAGCCAGTATCAAGTCTCCACATCAGGCATTTCTTCGCAGGCCATCGTCTGCTGGCCCTAAGCTGGACCATGTGACAGAGCATGTTGACCGCCTCGCCTCCGTCTTCGCCTTCCTCGTCCAGCCTGTGGAGCAAGTCCACAGCCTAAAGTCTTAGTCCATTCGAGCCACAAGTTCAGTGAAATCTCCCGTCCCTCCTCTTCCGGCTCAGGGAGCATCCAGGAGCTCTGGAATGCCGTATATCCATTCGATGCCGATGACGCCCATGGAAAAAACATTGGCAAGGGGCCCGTGACCCCTTGCTGTGCCCGGAAACACCTCCGGTGCCGCATATTTAAGTGAGCCACAGAATGTTCGCAGCCAAGCGTTTGTTGATAACGACATTAAGTTAGCTAAGCCAAAACCGGTGTTGGCGACCTCGAAGTCAGCTTGAACACGACCAAGCAATTTCTGGGGTTGAGATCGCGGTGAACTACCCCCTTTGCATGGAGGTGACTAAGAGCCTCAAGAACCTGCCTCAAACCACTCATACGTTGGGCCTCATCGATGATGCTGGCGTCTACGATGTTTCCATGGCGATAAATCCATAATGATTGTGGGCTCCGGGGTCTCCCAAAGTTCAAAAAGCCTGCGCCATATTGGGCCGTCGCACAGGTCAGCATCATCATCTATGGTCGCAGCGAGCAGAGCCGTAGCGCAACTTACATGTGTTAGAGGATGGTAGCAAACAGCGTACGG